TTTTTTTTTCTGAAAGTAACCAGGAAGGGCTCAAAAATCCCATTATATTGTCCTCATGGCAAATCAGTGTATAAATGGAGCCAGAAGCAGGTACCCAATTCTCACATTCCTTCCCCGAAAGTGTGATGAGGTGGCAAATGCTGAGAAAGCTGCAGGCTGTTGGGTCAAACTGTTCAAACCCATTTCAGAATCTTTATTGGAAATAAAAAAAAAGAAAAAAGGAAAATTAATCACAGCATCTCCACTGTTATTCCAACACATTTAATAAACAAAGAAAACGGTAGCAAAGGGCACTGACACGTGACAAACTGTACAAAACCTCCCGGTCTGCAGGCAAACCCGAGGGGAGGAGCCCGCGGCCCGGCTGCAGGACCAGGGAGCTGCTCCGTCCTGTGCCCTGTGGTGAACCATTCCCCTTTGCCTCGGCCCACTCAGTCACCCCTGAGAAAAATCCTTTTTTTTTATTTTAAAAATGTGCAGAAACAAAAGACACTTTTAAGAGGTTATTTCCAGTCTCGCCGTAATGGCACAATTTAGGCCACTGGGAAAGGTTAAAAAAACCCAAAGTGTCATGCTCTCCATTCCCAGGATGAGTGCTCTGGAGTGAACCTTCCCAAGCGGCACAAGCGCTCTTGCAATCAATATCCAGTAGATCTACCCCTACCCCCCACGTTACCTTTTTTAGAGTGAACGGGACAAATTCCATCCTAATCCAGCGCTACTTTTGACAGCGTTGTGACTGAGTGAAGGGCAATGGAAGGAAAAGCCCCGTCTCGAGCACAGAAGGGACGTAACTGGTGCATAATGCTGAGACCAGCCTCGGCCTCAGGGTGAAGGTGACCTAGCACAGTTGGGAAAGGAGAAATCCTCCGCTGGGAACGTACCTGCTCTGGATGGACTTCGTGCCTGGTCCTAAACATCGCCCAAGACCTCGAGTGCCCAGTACCAACGATTGGTTTTCTACCGTAAACTTGTTGTGTTGACCCTACAGACCCTGCAGCTGAACCCCAAGAGTCTTCAACCCCCTGGCACGTCCTTGCTGCAGAGAGCACCGTGGAGGGAAAAACCAAGGTGAGGCTTCACCAGTCTTTCTCCCGCATGTGAGTTAAACAGCTGTCCCTCTCAGCCGGTGTTGGTGGGTTTTCGGCTCCCTGGCTCAGTGGGCATCAGGCGTCCCCCGGCGGGTTTCACAGCGCACGGCGTTTCTGGTGACACGCAGGCACAACCAGGCATGGGTTTTACCTACTTGAGCCGTACTGGACGCTGTCTCCCCGTGCAACCAGTGTCGATTGGAACAGCGGGGTGCTCGGCTGGCACCGCTGTGACAGCAGCAGCTCCGCCAGCTCCCGTCACCTTCAGTTTGTTATTTCTTGACCAGTTCCCAGAAGCTCCCTCCTCTGAGGAAGGGAAAGAAGAGTGCTAAAGGGCTTTTTAGGCTGCTAACTTGTATCCGTGCGCTTCTTGGTTTCTTAGCTGGCAGCACGGACGGACAGCGACTGAGGCGACAAGAGGCCGAGAGAGGAGAGCGAGCTACACACATCACAGTGTTGGTTAGGCCCAGCCGAGGCGTATGGTCTAATCACACCAATAACCACCCGTACAAAGAGGGAGGGAGAGCTGGGTTCTTCGGCGTCAGCTGCGTCTCACCGGCCCGTAACCGACACGACGTGGATTCAAAGATGTTTGGCACGGTCTGCGGTTACCAGGATTAAACCAGCACGGCTAATTAACCAGTCTTCCTTGAGAACGAGGCGAAGCCTCCACCGGAGGAGGTACATTGGCAAAGCAGGACGGGAGAGGCCAGGCAAGAGTACGAACAGTGCTGGAAAGCGGCGGAGTGCAGCGGTGTCACTCGGGGGTCTTTGCTGCGCGTCTTGTTTCCGGAACTGGCTGTTGGCCCGTTGGTCGTGCTGCTGCAAGGCCCTGTCAGCAACAAGCGATAAGATGGTTTATTGGAAATATTCTATCTCCACGCTTTAAGGAGACCACAGGCAGCTGAAGTCCTCCAGAAAGGAGCCCAGCTCCTCAGTCCCGGTGCGGAATTTTCGGGTACCTCATGAAGAGGCCTCTGCTCCGAGCTTGTCAAGGTCTGTGAATTCCAGCATCGCCGAAGCTTTGTGTTTAATGTGGGTTTGGAATTGACTCAAAAAGATCCAAGTGCCCGGACACTTGGGCTACAAAGAATGAAGCTGGGATGAAGGGGGAAAAACATGCAGCGAATTCCTAAGAAATACCATTTACCAGACTAGGAGGGACGTGCCCTCGGTTAGGGACGGCACAGATTGACAGAGGGGAACCAGTGACTGCGGTTTGGCTAATATCAGAATTCAAGAGAGGCACAAACGAACATTTTGCACATCCATCCAAGGCATTCCAAAAAAAAAAAACAAAACCCCAAAAAAGAGAAGGAAAAATCACAGAAGTCGACACATCACTTTGGACAAGAAACATTACAACAGTTTGGCAACTTTTCCCCAAAACCCCCCACCCCAACTCTGTGATGCCCCTCTGTAATTGGAGGTGAGCTCTTCAAGGTGGGGACACGAGGGGGCTGCAGATAAATCACTGCGTGTAAATCGGGTATTTCCTCTGCAAAGGGTCTCGTGGGTTAGAACCAACCTACCTGCCTGCTACAGTACAAGAGGACTTCTGCCCGACGCCCTCCCCGGCCGAGAAGGAAGAAGACAGAGCCCGCACTGCTGGAGATAAACAAGGCAAAGCTGAACTTGGCAGCAACAAGTCCCTAACCTCGTGACTTTGCACCAGGCTAAGATATGGCCGTGGCGGGGTGTTGGAGGAGATGATGTCACCACTCTGCCCTTCACCCCTCTCTGCTGAAGAAGAGCGATCCCTCCGTCGCTGCTCCGGGGGAACGCAGGTCTCCTTGTTGACGCATGCGAAGTGATGGGCGTTGGAAAACACCAGGAGCCCACACGTGATGGTGTCAGCAGCGAGCCCAGTGTTAGATGTAGGCAACTCCCCCCCTCGGTACCTAAACTCAGCTCTTCGGAACTGAACGAGGAACAGACGCCAAGTGAGAACGGAAAAGGTGGTGTGGGTTTTTTAGGAGTGGTTGTCTTGTTCCTCCTCTTAAAGCCCTGTTCTTGACTGGGGAAGGGCTGGCTGATCGGGGGGAGGGCATTGCAAGGTCACTGTGCTTTTCTGGTGGCAGACCGGGGTGCAAGAAAGGGCACAGCTTCCATCCAGATCCTCCCACCTACGCCAGCCCGCGGAAAGTGGGACGGATCGCAGGGGCCTGCGGACCTGAGCAACCTTTGCAAAGGCTCTGACTGGGAATCCGGCCCAGCCATTGTTGGAAAAATTCAATACAGCGCTGGCCAAGAAAATAAAACAAATACTTGTGGAAAGGACTATCCGGCTGGAAAAGTCTTTTCCTTCCTCGGTTTCCAGGGTAAGAGGGAAGCCTTTGGTTACGACCAGAATTATTCGCCATCGGCAGGACAGGCTCGGCTTTGCTTTGCGTTAGCTTGGTTACTGCGCGAGGGCAAGGCTGCGCTGCGGAGAGGTGCTCTGCCCAGCCAGGCTGCCCTGGGATATCCGGGAGTTTTAACGGAGCGGACGCTCAAATTACATCCGGGATCCTCGCTCTTGAAGAATCTGAAAAAGAAGAGAGCTTCCATAAATACCCTGGACAAGTTGAGATGCAGGAGTTCGCGTGCGGAGAAAGGGGAGATGGACCAACGCGAGAGGAGCGTGCGGGGTTTTATGCTACTCTAACAGGCTGGGTAAGGCCCCTCCTCCAGAAATCCTGCTGACGTGCCTGCCAGGAGTTAAGAAAACTTTGTTGCTATCCCAGGGGGAAAAAGAAAAGCATGGATTGAAAGAGGGAAAAAAAAAGCTTGTCTCTCCCTGCAACATCCTTCAGCCACAAGACGTGACCAATCTCAAAGGTCCTTGCTATACTGTCTCCTTTTCCGAGTCCATCTCTTTCCTCCATAGGATTTTTGCCGTAGTTTGAAACACACCAAGAGCCTTAGCTCTTGTCCTGCTTTAAAGCACGAAACCTTCCAAGAGAAGAAGGATATTGGATATAAAAACCTTCCAATAGTAAAGCTGGTACACAGAACTGCTACGAAAAACCCTGGACCTGCTAGTGTGAGAAGGGCCTTTTCTTGGCACAGGGAATTGAAGTCAACGCATCCAAGCAGATGCCTTACCTTTGCCTTCTCGCTCGGCTCCTTGACAATGCCATTGGTGGAGTTGTTGAGCTCCCTGGACACAACGCAGAGGAATTCTGCCTGGTCTTCGTTTCCATAGTTATAGGAAGATCCAATGCTGATCAGCTGTGCCGCAGGAGAGAGCCAAGGTCACTACCAATAAATACTGACACTTTCTTTATTCCTACGATTGCTCTGCGAGGTCTGACTGCAAGTCAGGCCTGTTCTGGACCGGAAGTGTCCCCCCCACCGCCTCCAGTGCCACAGGCTTCCCTGTGCTAAGGCAGGGACACAGCCAAGCTCCAGAGCTCTCTAGTGACACCTGGAGCCCCAGGAAGGAATCCCAGCCTGAAACTGTAATGCTGAACACAACCGAACACTTCCCAGTTCCTGGGGGCAGAAAGAGGAGAAGCATGTCAGATTTTACAGCAGATAATCTCTAGCTGATCCGGGACAGGCAGCACAGGCTTCCCGGTCCAGACCACATGGAACTCTGCTCTCAGCTCCCCTTTTGACTTTGGTGCGTAGAAACTGGAAAGGCAGTTCTTTACCGCAGACAGATGTTAGATTAACTAGGGGACATGTGGCAGGCTGGCACCATTCTTTACGTAGATGCTGTCAAGATGGAGTTTGATAGTGTATAAATGGGATTATATTCTATTACCGTTGTGATGAGGGGCCTGGACTCGATCCAGGAAATCCCATCTGTCTCATTTATCATTATTACATTAAAAGGACATCCTGGAGTGCAGAGCTAATTCATCATTCACAACTCGGTTCTGCTTTCCAGATAATAAATTAAGTAATCTGAAGAAAGCAACGTGAATCTTATCAACTGTGTATATCCAGGAAACTTTAATATGCAGCGTGCACCCCAACTTCCATGCCCTAAGGGGTTTTAGAAGAGAGAGCTCCATATTCATGAGGCAGATGCAGCCAGCAGCCTTCCTGGACAGATGACTGTCCACACAGTTACAGCCCAGCTGCAGGAAGGCGGGGGGGGACCTGTCGTACTGACTGACCTCCAGTACTGTTTTAAGTAGGTTTTGATGTTTGTGCTGAAGGCAAAAGATAGACACAGGATAAAATATTTTTTCTCCTCTTGCTTCCCTGCTCCTCATCCTGACTGCAAGCTCCTGGCTATTTCCATACCACACACCACTATTGACTCAACCAATGCAAAGTGCCTTTCGATAAAGACAGCAATTTTCCAGGCTACTGAACCGTGGGCGGACAGGAGAATGGATTTCTGTTTAAAACAGCAAATTTCTATTCCCTCCTTAATTTAAGCAGGACTGAATGGTAGAAGGCAGAGAACCTGAAAGGCCACATGCTCCTCTGAGAACCATGCCTGACAGACAGTAAGGCTGCAGCAGCTTTTACAGCTTCTGGCTTTCCTGCAGGTTTCTGAACCAGTCCTTGCTGGTACGGAGTGACTGGATCCAAAGAGCCCGGAGAGGCATGTCTGCTCTGTTCCGTCTCTGGCGCCCAGGCTATGGTTCAGCTATAGGCTCTCTGTGTCCCCGGTATGCAGGTGCGTTACCGTCGTTCCCTGCATGTCTCCGTATGCCAAGTGGTGCGAGGTGGGGGAGGGCAGGAGCCCTGCTGGGTTGCACATCAGGGCAATGACCCTGGCATTAGGCTGCAGCTATAACGTGCCTCCCAGCAGGGCTCATTTCTGCATGGGAA